AGAAGCAAGATGGTAGTACTGTATTAGAACCCTAAGCTCCAGCTGAAGGCCTATGAGTCATCAAAAGGTTAAAACCAGAAGCATAACTAAAGCCCAAGGCATAGCTAGCGATACAGGGAATATTTTTATTATGCACACATATACAGAAATTTCAGTTCAAACACTTAAAGCTGTATGGTCATTTCAGTCACCTCCAAATTCCCAAGTTACTTATTCAGAAGAATGGAGAAGTAAAACAATGCTTCCCCCATGCTTCCTTGAACAGCATGCTCTCACTGAGCCAGTGAAACTACATCTTTTACTTTTATGTAGCGCCACGCTCTAACCTTATCCTGCACTACTTTCCTAGAGCAATATTCACTGAACTGTAGGACAAGGACCAAAGAGGCAATACAGGAGATCCTGGCAGAGAGAGAGAGGGAAAAGCAAATACAGCAAACTGCACAGCACCAAGTACATCAACTGGACCACTGCACTGTATTACGAGTAGTTTTCCTTCTATTTTCACGTGTTGGCTCCACTGGCTTCAAAAATCCTTATTTTGCAAAACACAAACAGTTTTACAGCTGCTACCATGCAACTCTGAATAATAAGAGTCAGGTTTTTAGACTATAGAGTAAAATGGCTGGGTAACAGTCACATGACAGAATGAGTAGGTGATAGAACCAGAAAGCTTTTCAGCTGCTGAGCTGACATAGCCAAACAGTTAAACTGTAGTCATATAGGGGAGAAGAAAGGCAGACATGGACAAGAACATGTGACAGAGGGCAACATGCTACTATAGTTAACACAGAATCTGTTCCTGTTTAACACTCAGTGTAATGTCAACTCAGCGTTTGAATACTACTTAAACAATCCTTCAACCAAGACTTACTATGTCCAACTACAGAGTTTCCTGGAAAGACAGATTCTGAAAGAATTGCAGCACACTCTTGTTTTAGATAAACACAATCTGGAGAAGCAAGAGGAATTGCAACCTCACCAGTGGCAGCTGAACAGCAGAATTCAGGTAACAGTCCTTTCCAGAGTACCCCTGAAACCAGAACTTCTGTAGTGCTTGCATGGTTTGCTTTTTGGAATGGGTTTTGTGAGCTGATGTTAACTAATCAAGTAATTTTTACACAATTTTTGAACAGGTCTTTGAGCAGAACAGTCTCCTGAAGTTGTATATAAGTAACCTGCTATTATCCACTTAGCAAGATTCTGTATGTGCTTCAATTATTTGAAGCTGCACTTAAAAGATAGCTGTGGCAAATGTTTTCACACAGAATTTTATTTGCATCTAAGTACAATTTTGAAAAAAATTTATGGGATCTGAAAAACTAACTTCCAGGAAGTTTTTTATCACCTTCTGACATGACCAAAAAAAAAAAAAAAAAAAAGCAACTACTGAAATTTAGAAGTTATTGGACATTGGGCAGAAATGCATATACTAAAATCACTTGTCATCTCTTTTTCCCAACTTGAAATACACTTAAAAACTGTAATTAAACATGCATCAAACTCTTATATGACTACATTCTCATAAACATTTAAAGAAATAAAAATCAAGAGAAACCTACAACATTCGTTGCTTTAGTTTATTTTTCGGTCGTCCAATAGGTTTTGCATATCGTCGTCTTATTTGGGCAGCTTTCTCATGAAGCAGCTTTCTCCCCTTCTTCTTTGGCCTACAGACCTGGCAAATCCACATCCCTACATAAAGGAAGCAGAGTTTAGTTGTACACAGTTTATCTAATCTGTACTGCAGGTGTCTACCAAGATACATGCCAAGTATATACAAGGTCAGCAAATTATCTCTTGAACAGGACACAGGGAAAGGGAAGTGGACAAAAGAAATTATCCACTTCTACCCATATTCTGAAATTTTTGAAAGCAAAGTGCTCATGGAAAGGGGAAAACAAGAAGCAATCAGGATCACAGAAAGATTATGAGCAAATGGGTTCCTAGAAGAATTTCTGTTCTAGCCTGTCCCTCCTCATACCACCTATACTTTCTTCAGACACAATTAAGACCAAGGGAAAAAAATTATGTGTGTTACAAAGCAATCTAGGGTAGAGTGTGCTAAAGAATATACCAGATCACACCTAGGTATGGTTGCTTTAATATATATAACAACTTGAATTTGGATACTTTTAACATTTGGTGAACATTTCTAAACACTTATTTATAGTAAATAAGGCTGGGGACTGATGGAGAAGGAACTGAAAAAAGTCTTTAGTGTAACTTTAAGACTAAATAGGAAAAGCCATAAAAATGCGAGAGCAAAGGTGAGAGGTGCTGTAGGTCAGAAATCTGGAGAACCTGAAGACATGTGCTTTTGTTTGTTTTTCCAGTTACACTTACAAAAGGCATGAAGAACCATCTCCACTTGGCTCTAACGTTTTCTTTGTCAGTGTATCTACTTCAAGCATTTTAACAACCCTTCTAAAATTTCACCCTCAATACACTGGCGAACAACTCAACACACAATGAATTCATCTGGTCAACTTAACTGCAAACGTTCACTATTTTCCTGAGGAGGGAAAAAACCTCACAAAATGACTAATAAAATTGGTTTTGACATGATTGAAATCATACTGCTTACCATTGGAAAAAAAAATAAAATAGCATGCTCAAGAGGTTTTGGTCATTTAATATGAGAAAAGATTGTGAATGAAAGTATTTTCATGGAAAGAATTTTATGATCACCTTTTGGCATTCGGGAAAGTGGTGGGTCACAGCACTCCATGTGGAACCCTCTATCACAGGAGTCGCAAAAAAGCATGTTATCCTGAAGGGGAGTGGGGATGGGGATGGAAAAGAGAAGAGAAGAAAAAAGACTTAATATGGCATTGCTTGAAGTTGTACATCAACCATTTGCATTTGCACATGTGTGAATTATAAAGCCACTCTAAGCAAAGCAAAGACAGGTAACACTCAAGTGTAACTTACTGCATTTTTGCCTTGGATCCTACACGCACTGCATGTCTTGCATTCAATGCACTGCCACCTCAAGGCCTTCACATTTGTTGTTAACTCAGGACAGAACTTCAAACATGATGGATGTCCTAAAAAACACCAAAATGTTTAAAGCTTGAAACTGAAGATTAGTTAGACTGGCTTTTAAGTTCAACAGGATGTAGCCAGCACCACCAGAACTCTGCAAGCACCACCGGCTTTCAGAATTTTGCAACAGATTATTTAACTAATCTCCTCCATACAAAGGCACAGAAGAACTGCCATAAAACTCACTTAAGAAAACAGGAAGAAAGTTGACTTCTAATGTAACTGACACCTGTGAATGGTCTACACAAGCACCTAAAACTGAATTCCTATTTTCACTAGGTTATTTTCATAGCATATTAAACTGCCATTGGTTCTGAAAAAAAGTATTTTTGCAAACTTGACCCCCTGCCCTTTCCTAGCAGTGCAAATTAAATAGAGGAAATCTTTAGATAAAACCATGTTAGTTATTTTTCTAAATACACTAAGTATCTACCAGAGGAAACTTCACATGCATTTTTCATTCCAACTTACTACTTAATTATATAGAAAAAAACAATTTCAGAGCAATAAAAAGGAAAAAAAATAATCTGGCAATCGGCACAAGAAAAGCTGATTGCAGTGGCAATTTAAAATTCGGGGAGGGTGTTGGAGGGTGGTGGGAGTAGCTGAACTACCACTTCCCACAAAACCGTATTTTATTCCCTGGCAGGACCATCCTCTTTTCACAGTAGCCTTGAAGGCCTACACAACTTTTCCAATTAATAGAAGACGACAGACCACTGAACACAAATACCTTAGGCAACACTGGCAGAGATTGTTTCATGTCTTCAACAACCTCAACAGAGTACACCCTTAATCCAGGAAAGATAAAAGCACTGCTAAATAGGAAGGGATAAGTCTTCCCAGAGAAACACTTTTTTGACAGTATTATATTCAGAGATTATCAAGAACATCAACCCACAAGTTGTCAGAGAGATAAGAATCTCTGATGCCATGCTGTACTTAGAGATGGCTGCAGTGATGCAGTAACGCATGAAAGGCACTTTATTCTCACTGTCAGAGTCGGGATGCATTGCTTTCTTCTAGGCAATGGTCTAGTCATGGTGATTCAGACTGTCTCCATTCACTGTTTCTCAGTTCAGGACCGAGCTAAAACACCACAAACAAGAGCAGAGTCTAATCCAAGAGCATTTGCTGGTTTTGTCTTCTAATGGACTGAGGCATGAATAGCACAGACAACTGAGGGAATGCAAAAGCCACTTGATTAAGCACAAATTTCAGGATTTGACTTCCTTTTATTGTATGTACCCAAGGTTTAATTCACTTCCACTTAAACTTGAAAAGACATCTTGAATTATGCAAATATAGCATATTATCAAAATAAAATGCAGGAATATAATCTATTAGTAAGGAACAATCAGAAATAAATTCAAAGACTCCTTTCAAAACCAAAGATACTGAAAAAGTATTGCTATATGATTCTTAGCATACAGTTTTAGATATATCACCTAATTTTTGTGGTTAAAACTGAATATGCTTTTAAAGTCATTACTATTGTTGAGAGTGACAAATACACTCTAACTGCATAATTGAGTATAATGATACACTGTTCCCTTCAATAAAACTTAACAATTGCTTCATTTAAAAATATGTGCTAAGAAATGAGAAAAAAGCTCCCTAGAGTGGCTGATATTAGTAATCAATATCACAAAGACTTATTTCATCAGCCATGACTTAACAACTATATTAACACATTAAAGTGTAATCATACACCAATCCCCTCCACATAAGTACCTCTAATTCCTGTTATCTACCCAGGACAAAAGTGATTTACTTCAAAGGAGCAAATAAGTTGCAGTTAGAATTGTTGATTTTAACTTTGCCTTAAGTAACTGAGAAGGATGAATGTGAGACAGACCTGTTCTCACTGGCTGGTAACCACGCACAGATTAGGTGTAAGTGGGTTACTTTATTTCTCTGTTGTCTACCAACATAACATTTGTCATTCAAGCAATTACACAGCTTAATACATTTGTTAATATCCTTAAGTGCTAGATTTTATTAACAAAAATTCAGAAAAAAAATCCACTGATACTAAATATTAATATTATGCCTGCAATTCCAAGTGCTTGAGCCACAAGCAACTGGAAGCTGGAAGGGTGCACATGGGACCCATCACTGTGCATTTGCCATGTTCTTCACTGTCTTTCCTAGGTATGCACTAGTAGAGACAGCAGAGAAGTTTTTAGATTTCAAAATACCATATGGTATTGTTTTTTAATAGCTGAGAATACTTACACTCTTCATTTTGGCCCCAAACTGACATAGTGCCAATATAACAATAACAAATAGAGGATAATGCCTACCAGACACAAAGCAGCAACTAACATGTTTCACTTTTAAAAGGGATCTGTTTAACTACTGTCACAGCAGTTATACATTTTGTAGTTTAACAGATTTCTGTAGTCAGTTAAACAAAGTTACTGTGCCCTTCAGTGATTTTACAGCTAGTTTCTCTAAATTTGAAAGAGCTGAAGGAAAGCGTGTTTTGGACTTCAAAATTTGCAGTATTTCAGCTCTAACTAATCTAAACTGAAATCAAAAACATACTGTCTTCTCCATAACCAGAGGCTGACAAATCTGCCAAGAGGTTTTCAACACTTGATCAATCTCTAGTTTGAAGTGTTTCAGCTGGTGATTTATCCTGGTTCCATCACTTGACTTCCTTTTAAACCTCGGCAGCATCAATATTTTAATGTATCACACAAGTTCAGCAGACTACTCGAAATTCAGACCTTTGAAAGTTGGCAATTTCCACCAGGAAAACATATAGGCTTACTTTAAAATTAAACACTTCAAAAATTCATTCTTATCCATCCTTGTTAGAGAAGGTTAAGATTCGTGACACACTGATGCAGCAGAAATAGGCATGCTCAGGAAGTCAGAAACAAATGTCTCATTCCTTTGTGACTGAAGGCAACTCCTTTACCCTGCCCACTTTTGTTTCTTCATTGCAAAGCTTGGCCTTGTTTATTCATCAAAGGATTTGATCAAACAACTAGTCTTTTAAAAGAACAAGCATTAGATCAGTGACTACTTTAGCACAGTGCTAAATTAGTTACGCTAATATCTCCAGTTACTTTAAAGTTTCAGACAAATGCTGGGAACTAATGTACAAGAAAATTCACAAAAAAACAAACCCTCAGCTTGTGCTTGATTGCCTTTTAGGAAGAAAACATTATTTAAGGTGACTTTAGCTTAGCAAAGACGACCAGCGCACCTATCTTGGGCACGTAGGAGGTTTTTCCACCTGCATGTTTCTTAGCAGTTCATTTTATGCAACTAGCCGACATCCTTACACAGACAGCAATCATTGAGACAATTCCTATATTCCCTTATTATTGAAGCATATCCTAAATGTCTTTGTTGTTCTGCTCTACAGCCTCCCCTACCCATCTGATGAGTAACACTCTTGTCTTCTCAGGATAACATACTACTTGAAAGGACAGTACCTACAGGTGTTCTACTTTTAGCTATTTTTCTCCCTTTAAAAAAAATATTTATTATAGTTCTCCAGTCAGTCAAGCTC